CTGTGGGACGAGGAGTTGTGGAGGTCACAATATTTTATCTCAGGCGGACACGGCGGCGGGTATACCTGTTGCTGCTGCTTGAAGTACGGCTGATGCTGCTGCTGTGGCTGCTGCGGTTGTTGCTGCTGTTGCCGCGCTGCCGTCCTCCGTTGTCCTCTCATCTTCCCCCTGTCCCCCATGTTCCCGCCCCCGCCACCACGGTTATCACCGCCAGTGACGAGGGCATACGCCCCCACGCTCTCCGACGCCCTCTTCCTAGCGGCCTCCGTCTCCGCCCAGGCAGTCAGAATTCCGTCTTGACCTCCGAATGCGCCAACAACACGCTCCTCTGCACATTGACATCGGGCAGGTTGCGTACATAGTGGACGTTAGCATCATGATCGGATTGCACCCAACCGTGCGCTTCTTGTTTCTGGCGAAGTACTGATGCTCTTATGAGATAGCGCCGGGGCTTCTCCCCTACTTCCTGCTTCAACGAGTGCCACTGCCCCTGCAACTCCAACTTGTCCGTTTCTGCGTGCACTCGGTAAAAGTTGAGAATTTGTTCCCACGATTCAGTGGGTCAACCACTAGCTAGGATTGCGAGGACGATTGTCGGTACTTGTATCTTGGATATTATTAGCTGCCAAGCCTTAACCGCCCGATCTACAGCTTCCGTCCCATGCTCNCATCGGGCAGGTTGCGTACATAGTGGACGTTAGCATCATGATCGGATTGCACCCAACCGTGCGCTTCTTGTTTCTGGCGAAGTACTGATGCTCTTATGAGATAGCGCCGGGGCTTCTCCCCTACTTCCTGCTTCAACGAGTGCCACTGCCCCTGCAACTCCAACTTGTCCGTTTCTGCGTGCACTCGGTAAAAGTTGAGAATTTGTTCCCACGATTCAGTGGGTCAACCACTAGCTAGGATTGCGAGGACGATTGTCGGTACTTGTATCTTGGATATTATTAGCTGCCAAGCCTTAACCGCCCGATCTACAGCTTCCGTCCCATGCTCCACCTTCAATGCCGAGATGTTCGTATCCGTGTTCCCTACACGAATAGTGTTCTTCGATGCTATTGCCCCAAGGCATCGCTCCTGCTCCAAAAAAGATTAAAATGACTGGTAAAAACCATTACCGCCGTCTGTACATCGTCCTCGGGGCTAAACTTCCGGGTGAATGCAGGGATTGTGATACCTGCGCTAATACGCATTGTTTCTTTAGGGGTTGGGACTTCCCTGTATTCATCCTCCGGTCCTATCTTGACCGTCTACAAGGCCCGCGCAAGGGTGTCGATGAGGCTGACGTCCACCGGCGATCGGGGCTGGTCTTCGGGTCGCGGGCTTGACTCCGAGCCAGCCGGCCTCTCCAGCCGGGTGTCGCCTCCTGCGGAAGGCAGGCCCTCGCTCTGTGCTGCGGGGCGCTCTGCTGCTGCTGCTTCTTCTACTTTGATCTTGACCCTCCTTGATGAGGGCGTCGATTACCTTTCGCTGCTCGTCCGAGAGCTGGAGCTCATCCATCTGCTGCTCCATGATTTCCCTGTCACTGTTCTCTGGCCGAACCCTTTTGTAGCTAGCCCCACCTCGGGATCCCGTATGATATCATGCTAGCGTGGTAGGATAATCCGAACTGGGGGTAGCTTGTCGCAAGACGTGTGTTGNGCGGAAGGCAGGCCCTCGCTCTGTGCTGCGGGGCGCTCTGCTGCTGCTGCTTCTTCTACTTTGATCTTGACCCTCCTTGATGAGGGCGTCGATTACCTTTCGCTGCTCGTCCGAGAGCTGGAGCTCATCCATCTGCTGCTCCATGATTTCCCTGTCACTGTTCTCTGGCCGAACCCTTTTGTAGCTAGCCCCACCTCGGGATCCCGTATGATATCATGCTAGCGTGGTAGGATAATCCGAACTGGGGGTAGCTTGTCGCAAGACGTGTGTTGAGAAGGGTATCGGCAACTCGGCAGGCTCGCGCCGAGGAGAAAAACTTGTTGTGATTAGTTGCATCCACAAACACACACACACCCCCGTTGAGGGGGCGACGCCGTATACAGCAGGGGTACCTTGTACATCCCTGGAATCCATTCTACATACCACACATGTCACCCGGTATTCCGCTCTACCTCATTCCATGGAAACATCCCGTACCAACCACTTGGCATTGCTACAAGTATATTTATCAATCTGGCACAGAAAAAGAGAGAAGAAAGAAGAGAAAAACAGAGAGAAAACAGAGAGAAAGAGAAAGAAAAGAAATGGAAACAGGAAGGAAAGAGAAAACAAATGAGAAAGAGCGAGGACAGAAAGGGACTAGTCCGAAAATATTAAGATATAAGAGACAGAAAAAGGCACACGGTGGGGCGACCACTAACGAGCAAGCAAACACGCAAACATGGCCACCAACAAGCGATACATTGTAATGGTACGTTATCACTAGTGGGGGGTTGGTGCAATGGTGCAGCGTTGGGGGGGGGTAATTGGCTAAAAGAAATTCAATCCGGCACGTATCGCGCCACTCGGTCCGTATCTTCTCGTTTGCTTTCTTCCCTCGCCGCCTCGTCCGTCTCCTGCCCCCCTCCCGCNACTTGGCCCGTCTCTTTTCGTTTGTTTTTCTCCCCTCGCCGTCTCGTCCGTCTCCTGCCCCCCTCCCGCCCTACTAGTTGTTGGCTTGTGGTTTCGTTTGTGCGTCCGTTGTCGGCTGGCCTGTTCTTCCTTCTCGTGCCAGGAGGTCATGAACCTCTCAGCTCCCTGCAGCACCGCCGCATGCCAAGGTACTCCCCCCTCCACCTTCGCAGCTTCCGTCCACTTTAACTTCGGTGCCGTGTCATTGGGTACCGGGATTCCGAGACAACATGGATCGGTTTTCGTAGATCCGTGGTCGGCCCCGAATGCGTTCAAGTCGTCGAGCACACACTTCGACCAGTTCTATTCCTATCGCCCCCTACGTCGCTTCTGCCCCCCCGCCAGTTCGCCGAGCATCAGTCGTTTCGGGAGTCGCCCGTCCGGCTGCCTTGCAAATGCTCCCGCGAACAGTAGGCGTCGCTGTCGGATTGTGGCCTCAACGCTCTGGCATCCGACCCGCTTCAGCGTCTGGGGGTAAGAGAGCTGCCGGTAGGTGTCTTCCTTGCGCATGTATCCGATAACTCGAAGGAGCAGTCGGTGGTGTATCGACCGCAGCGTCTGATAGTGGCCGCTGAGTGGTGACCATGTCATGCAGCCGTACAGGAGTGCCTCCATCGCCTCCGCCTGGCGCAGGTGGATCTTGAGTCGGAATGGCGCTTTCGGTCTGTCGAAGAGCTCCCGGTCATATCGCCTGAGGCACGCCCACGCTCCTCTGCTCCTGTAGTTGATCTCCCGGGTGAGGTCGCCATGTTCGTTGACGAGGCCACCGAGGTACCGGAACTCGGTCGTCTGGGCGTATTTCTGTCCCGCGGCTTCGATGGTCAGCGGTGGGGGCGGGGGGGGCTGTGATGTTGTCGTCGGCTTGTCCTTCGCGCGCATCAGGAGCGTCTCTTTCTTCTTCTCCGACACCGTTAGCCCGAACTCCCCGAACACCTGTACGATGATGGTCATCATTCTCGCCAGTCCTTTCTGCAGACCTCGATACGACGCCGGCATCATCGGCATACAGCATACCCCATGCTGCCCTCCGTCCTCGGTCAAGGGGTGTCTGCTCCCCCCGCTCCGCTTCCGTCTTCCCCTCCTCCAAGCACACCAAGCTCCGCAGAACAACATCATCCTCGCTGGATAGAATGACAACGACCTCGAGGACCTCGGTGAAGAAGATGTTGGCACACTTCCTTGTCGCACGCCCGGTGTCACAAAGAACCAGTCCGATAGTTCCCCGTCGTCCACGCGCACCCGGGCCCGCATTCCATCGTGGAATTAGCGGATGATGTTGATCAGCTTCGCGGTGTTAGAAGGCTTACCCACTAGACTACTAAGTCAGCGCTGACTGCGTAGTCTAATGGGTAGTCTAAGCCTTGCTAAACAAAAGACACGCTCTCGGCTCGTAGCCACCCAGCTGGTCACTGGGATTTTAGAAGTAGCGATCTCCGGGGACGGACCCCTCGCCAGACGCCGCCTGAAGAGAACTTAATGGTGCTTGGGAAAGTGAGTAGCCGGGATTCGAACCCGTGCGTGCATTCTTCAGCTTCAAATGTATAACCCTTAGACGAGCCAACGCTGACTTAGTAGTATAATGGGTAAACCTTCATGAACAGGATGCACGCACGGTCTCGAACCCCGGCTGGTCACTTTCACAAGCACCATTTAGTTTTTTCCCTGCAGTGCCTGGCGAGAGGTCCGTCGCCGGAGATCCCTACTTCTAAAAATCCAGTGACCAGTCGGGTGGCTACGAGCCGAGAGTATATCTTTTGTTAGGAAGGCTTACCCATGAGACTACTAAGTCAGCGCTGACTTCGTAGTCTCATGGATAAGCCTTGCTATAAAAAAGAGCCCCTCCCGCCCACCGCTTCGGGCTTGTATCCCTGCAGGACAAGGCAACG